CCACACTACACGTCTCGCTGCTGCTCTAAGTTCTCGCTGCTGCCATTCTTAATGGCTTTATTTTTTGCATCTAAGCCCTGACATGCAATTTACACTTTTAAGTGATCAGACACAAATGACAATATTTCAAGACAGTCAATTGTCACATAGACTGAAATATTGACATTAAATTTGATTGTAAAGGAGTAATAGTTCTGGTCCATTATTATATGATGTGGTAAGGGGATGGGTTACAAGGGTTTATTTTCTAATAAGGATAATTTTTAATTTAATTATTTGTTTAAAAACCTATCTTCCCTAAAGGTGTTAATCACTATAGCTGGTATAAATTCAGTAATGGATCTGGGAGTGGGCTACTCTAAATGATAGCTGTTTCAGCTGTTCAATTGAAATAATCAATACAGAGTGAACATATGCTCTATATTAATTTGTCTTGGACTGTGTATTGTTTTTCTTTTGTTTTGAATATTTTCTTTTCTACAATACTCAAATCGTTTTTAGAAAGATAGGATAATTAAAGAAGCCTATAGTGACCATTTTAAATTCAGGGAAACAAATGACTACTGATCTATTTCATTTATGTATATACTAAGGTATAATTTGGAAGAAAGACTGAAATTGAAGGCCAAATAAAGAGACACAGGAAGCCTGTCCAAAATTTAGTTTCCCATGGATACATAATGCTGTTATTACCCCTCTGTATGTTGCCATACATTTTGAGTACTAGGCAGATGTCCTTGGATTCAGATGTGAAAAGACTCCAGGCATATTTTCTTTCTTTCAGGTGCCCCAGGCATCATTGGCTCTGTCTGGTATGCTGTTGATGTTTATGTGGAACGTTCTTCTCTGGTTTTGCATAATATATTTCTTGGCATCCAATATAAATTTGGGTGGTCCTGTTGGCTTGGAATGGCTGGATCTCTGGGTTGTTTTTTGGCTGGAACAGTTCTCACCTGCTGTTTATACATCTTTAAAGGTAAGAACAAATTTTTAAAAAGCACACTGTTTTTTTTCTACCATCATACTTCCCAACCCAGTGGAAACTCATCTTACCAGCACAACATAAAATCCCTGGAGTCCTGGTATAGCTCTGTGGGTTAATGAGCTGGATTTCAAGGTTGTTTGAACCACAGTGTTGGTGGTTCAAATTCACCAGTTGCTCCTCGGAAACCCTATACAGGGTCACTGTGGGTCGAAACTGACTTCATGGCACTTAACAACAACAACAACAACATTTAATCCCTACTTATTGCAATGAATGGTAGCATGGTGGCTCTGGACAATAAACACTGGATTGCTAATTATAAGGTCAGCAGTTCAAGCCTGTCAGCTCCATTGAGAAAGATGAAGCTTTTTGCTCCCACAAAGGTTTACTTTATCTAGGTAACATCCTATACAGGATGGTAACCCTATATAGGTCTCTATGAGTCAGAACCCACTTGACAACACTTAAAAACAAAAATTATCATGACAATGGAGAAGAGCTCAAAGCAGGACCCTACCCAGAGAAGCAGTGACTCCAGAGATGGAGGCAGAGATGATGACATGGAGAGATGGAGCAGTTGGAGACTTTAGACCCAGAGAGAGAGAGGGGCAGTGTGCTGATGACCGGGAGGTAGGGGGACAGGCTTGGGGGGCAGGCTTGCAGGGTATACTCTGTTGGTCGATGATGCATGGAGGGAATTGTAACCATAACAAGGAAACGATATAGGATAGGATGAATATAAAGCAAACGTTCTCCCACATAAACTATCACATACTTCACAATAAAACATTAAAAAAAAATTACCATGAAAATTTGCAGTTATTCAATTAGTGGTATATTTG